TCAAAAAGTGCCAGTATGTTTATGTAAAAACAAGGATGTGGTGCCAGGTCCAAGAAGGGCTAGAGATTGCTTTACAATGAACCAGTTCTTGTTCACAATACTTTGGCTAGAGACACATTCTGAGATGCATCGAAAGATGTCAGGACTAGACTGTAAACCCCAAACCCTGATCTTGGTTTGGCTGGAAGATTTGAACTACAAACAAACTCCACACAAAAGCTAAATCAAAGCAGTCTGGGACAGTTTGGTTTCTGATTTCAAACCCTTACGTTCTCAAGTCCTTGGATCTGGAAGTTTTGGTGTGTGGTTTGGGCCTTTCCCCCATAAATTACCTCCTCTTGGCAATGCTAGCTTTTGCTTACTGAGTTCACAGCGATATATCAAAAGAGCATTTACTCATTGTCCTTTTTAAAATAGGAAGCTTACAGACATTAAAATACTTTTGGAAATCAAATGGAAGCTGCAGTTCTGATCAAGAGTGGGTTACAAATAAACACGTATATTATATTACCAAGCTGTATGGTTCCCTAAAAGAGAATATTGATATCCGGAAAGAGAACAGTAGCATTTATGCCATTTCAAAGCAGCCCCAAATATCTGATAGACTGACTCCTTCCCTACAGACTCCTTTCAGTATTACAAATAAAGAATTACTTTTTTAATTATTATTTGTTTGTTTGGTTTGTCAAGCTGAAGCCATTACAAAAGATAAAATACATAAAGCAGAATAAAAACAGAATAAAATTCATTACACATCTAAAATAATTATTAAAATCAGACATACTGCCCGATAAGAGTTTGTTCCCCTGAAGAATTTAACTTATATATCCCACAAACATTTCTGCTCGAGTCCCTGCAAATAGGCATAATTTGGCTTGGTCAAATTCTTACAACCCTAATTCTTACATTATTATGTGATATTCATCTTGAGAGCAGAGAGTTTCTTGTAAGATAGAAATAGAAAGGAAGGACAGAGATGCTCCAAATTAGTGATGGGAAATCTGTGGCACTCCAGTTATTACTGGGCTCCAAATCCCACCAGCCCCAACCAGTATAACCATTGGCCATGAATGATTGAAGTTAGAGCTTACCAACAACCAGATGACCATAGGTTCACCATTCCTGTTCAAAATATAGTCATACCTCTGGATGAATACACTTCAGGTTAGGCAAATTCGGGTTGCGCTCCATGGCGACCTGGAAGCAACAGAGCGTGTTACTTCCGGGTTTCGCCATGTGCACATGTGCAGGCCGTCAAAATGATGTCACACACATGCGCAGAAGCGCCGAAACATGACCCGCGCACACGCAGATGTGCGGACACGGGTTATGTTTGTTTCAGGATGCGAACGGGGCTCCAGAACGGATCCCGTTCGCATCCCAAGGTACCAGTGTAAATATATTTCATAAGCATGAGATATTTCATGCACAGTATGTAAAAGAGAGTATGCTGCTGAACCTTAAATAAAGATGTAGAAGACAATACTAGGGACATGTATGGCTGGTAAAACTCCTTCTTCATAACTATGAAAAGCAGTGAAGCAGAGACCCTTCTTGGCCATTACTCCTTCTAGTGTAGTATTTCTATATTCTACATTTCCACAAGATCAGGATGTCAGATGACTGTAAATGGCAAATCCATGTAGTGGTTCTGTAAGGAGAAATGCTTCCAGAAATCCAACAGAAAACAATTGCCCTTAGCAAGGAGCATTCTGTTATCTTGGCTATATTCTTCCATGTCAAGTATTTTGCACACAAATTGCAAAGTCTTAAACTAGAAAAAAAATATTTTTCCTACCTATTGCAAATTAGTACTTAATTTGGCTCTTATGGGATACTTCAAGATGTTTTATTACCACAATTGTTAATTGCTCCGGCTAGAGAACAACATTCTCTTTCCAGTGCATCCTAATTTCCAATTGCCCCGAGAACCTTGAGTAAGTGCCATATTTCTCCTCGTTTCCACAAAGTCTAATCATTACTGTGCATACAAAGCTGGGATTGTTTGGTAGGCCAGCTTATTTCATTTCACTTTGCCAGAGCCAAGCTAAACACCAGTTTTATTCACACAAAGTTGAAATAGTGGCACCAATGAATGAGGAAGAAAAATAGTTTCACTCACTTGGTTTTACACTTTGCATGAGGTTTACATATTCGCAGCTCTCCGTGTGCTTTGCTGCAATTTTGCTTTCAATTCAACAGTCTGGATTGCATTTGAAATGAAAAATGTCAACCTTCTAAAGAAAATGTCTGAGTTTGAGCAACAGAAGAACAGGTTTTAAAATCATTTGGTTAATGGGTTTGAGAAACGCAGCACCCTTGTGGGTTACTCTGAACGCAGAGCTGCTCTGAAAACCTGCTAGGATGCCCCAGGTCATATAGAGTACAGCTAGAAAGTGGAAAGTCACTAAGTTGCATTCACTGGCCCTTAAGACTTATTCCTAAACTCACTCCTGCAGCTGAAATAGCAGATGAGACAAAGGGAACAGCTGAGAGAAATGAAACCATAACCAGCAGCCATCCAATGGCCATGGAGAGGTTTTATTTATTTATTTATTTATTTATTCATTGCATTTATATCCCACACTTCCAAGGAGCTCCTGGTGATGTAAATGGTTCTCTGCCTCCACAACAGCCCCCTGAGGTAAGTTAGACTGAGAGGCAGTGACTGGCCCAAGGTCACCGGGTGAGCTTTATGGCCAAGTGGGTCTCCCAGGTCCTAGTTTAATACTCTAACCACTACACCACACTGACAGAAGAGCCACAGGCAGGAGAATGGTCACCACCTGACTCTCCATAGCCACTACCAAGTATGAGCGACACCCACTTAAGGTATGGAAGAAAATTCAAACCCAAAGAGTGGAATGACTATATCACACAGAAGAAGCAATAAATTAGCCTGGTACCTGCCTCTCCACTGGAAACTTCCAGGGATATTTTCATTTAATGCTTACAAGTGGAGATAATAAAATATACACGACCCCTTTAAGGGAAACAGCTGTGACCCAGGAGAGGTGTGGTCTGACTGGAATAAGTTATTACTACTCTCTGCAGGGCTCCCAGACCTCATCAAAAATAGTGATTTGTTCTACCATTCACTCAGCTGGTGGTGAGTTTCTGTGTGGACAGTAGATGATCATACAGTAACTAACACAGTTAGTTTCCTGGGTTTCCTGGGTTTCCTGATGGTAGTGTGAGCAGGACCTGCCCACTCATGAGGCAAAGTGAGGTGACTGCCTCAGGTGGCAGGATCTACAGGGGAAGCAGATCCAACATCCAAGGAATGCAGCTGCAGTGCACCCCTTGGAGGCCGGATCTTCCACTTCCTCAGCCCCCCACTATACTAGCTGCCTTACCAGCACCCTCTCAGTGAATAGGGGGCATTGCTGGTCTCCTATTTGATATTGATCTTTAGTCCCTCCTGCCTTGCTCCTGATGCAGATCTTCGCTCCCCTCTTCCCTGGTAGAGGCAGGGCACCATTTTGTGGTTCACCTCAGGTGCTAAAATGTATTGGGCCAGCCCTGCATGTGAAAAACTAAAAATGGAGGGGTTCTTCTTCAGTTTCTCTCTGGATGATGAAGTTAAACAGAGCAACTAGTCCCTGGGATCCCACTTACTTCTCCCAGACTGAAGGGTTTGGAAGTCCAACCTGAAGCATAGCCAATATGGCGCACAGAGAAGAACCTTGACAAGGGCCAGTTCTTCAAAAAGTATTGCTGCACCATTCAGAAATTTATGTGATCCTCTGTCCCACCATAGTACCACTGGAAATTGATGGCTTCACCCTTCTTGACTGTTCAACAGTATTACCTACTCTGGCATCTCTATTTTTCTGGTGCTGGGCTTCTCAAGTAAGTGGCTCCTGTCTTTTTCTTCCATGTTTTCTTAAATATTCTCCACGTTTATAAGGTGTAGTTGGTTTTTTAAAAAAATGAAATCTAAACCTCGGGATTCCAGCAAGAGTCTTCATAAGAAAAACACTTTGGGGATTATGTGCGGCTTATTTCTTCCCACCACTCATGCAATCTAAACACCAATTAATAACTCTGCTTTCCAGGTTCATTTATTTAATAGTTTATAGGGAAAGGCAGAAATATTATATAGTGAATTTTACCCCAGAGATCTCCATGCTTACAAGACTCGCCTCCTTATGCAGCTGCATAGTATTTTGCTTCAGAATGGGACCATAGGTGCAGGATCCTGGGGGCTATGGCACTTTGTCCCATCCCCCCAGTGCTTTTTTTGAGGGAGGTATGCCCTCTCAATGTTCAGAGGGCATTTGGCTTTGCCCCCAGCTCCTTGTGACACTGCATTTGCAACATCAGGATGTCACATCAGGCCCTCTCAATCATCTTGAGAAGTTGGCACTTCTGAATGGGACACTTACAGAATTGGCATCTTCTTGCTAGGCTGATGAGACCTAAAGCTACCAGCCTTAACTGGAACCTCTCCCTGACCAAATACAGTTTTTACAACAGGATTTGACCCTTTTTATATCTTATATATTTATATTTATTGTTCTGCTTTGTCCTTGACCATATTCAACACTTAACCATATTTTCTGGAGGTCAACTGACTGAGTTCCTTGACCACTTGCTGTACCATACTTCCTCCTATAGGCTCACTATCTGTTTTACTGCATTACCAGTACTTGGAAAATTCAGTTCTAAAAGAAACTCCAGTTTCAGTTCACCCACACCAAAAAGGAATTGTTTCCCATTCTAGTTCACCTGTTCCAGAAAGGAATTAGTTCCTATTCAAGTGCATTACAATTCAATTCACAATTCATTCACCTGGTCCTCAGCATGTTTTTTTTCAGCTTTCAGAATTTTACAATCAGCTCTGCTGAAGTATAAAATATATTTAAGAAGAAAGAAGACATCAAAACAAAACATACACTGTAATGCGAACAATAGCTTTATTTATTTTTCACAACAAGTATGATCTTTAAGCTTAAACAGCAGCATCAATTTTCAGATGGGTAAAAATGGTAAATGCAGTGGCCACAATCAAACACAGAGTTAAGTTCAATTAAACTTCTTTGTATATATGTAAATTGTTAAATTAAAATGGAATGGAATTTTTAAAAATCAAGTTCCACCACAAAAGGAGTTTAGTTCACATGCTGTTCACCTGGAAATTATAAGAACTACTTGCAGGTGTAATTCATACATTTATAATTAATCCAGGGAATTAGTTAATCTGAGTTAGTTCATTCTAATCACTGTGCATTACACATAGTGGGGAGTAGGTTGAATTCCATTCCCAATCAAAGTCAGCTCATAAATGAAAATGATTGCCATATTTACAAATACTACTAAAATGCAGCAAAACAGATTTCCTTTGGACTCCTTGAAATAAAATGCAACTCATTTCCACTGACATATAGACATTTGTATTGCCACTGAACCATTTCTGTAGCTGGAGGGATATTTATTTATCAAGCATGTCAGAAATGATATTTAAAGGAAAGATTTGTTTCCATAAATAGTGATCATCTTGATGTTTTAATAGCTCCATGAAACATTCTTTAAATTGGAGTATGGAGAAACTGTGGAAAGATGGTTGTGATTTGTATCATTTCAAAAAGCAAATCATTCTTCAGCAAATAACGGTTACTTATAAGTGCCAACCCATCGTCTGAAATGGATGAAAGAGATTTATTTGAATTAATATGTTTTCATTCAGGCCCTGGAAGAACAAGGCTCGTATGCATAAATGTTTCAATGGATGCTTCTTCAGCAAAATGCTGAAACCACATGTTTCCCTTTAAATTGTGTGACCAAAATTCAGTGTGTAATGTTGCTCACCACCTGGGAGAACAAATTTTTATTTGACGCCTGCAGTGGCATACTTACAAACTCTTGCAGAGGCCTATTCTTGCTTTTTCCACAGGGTCAAGTTCTTTCATACTCCAGATAGGAAGTTGAACTCTAGAACTGGATGAAGAGGGTATATGATACCTTTGTGATTCTGATTGTGTGTTCATCCATCCATTTACTTCTCATGAACTATGTTGCTGGTACAAGTGGTCTTGGTTTATCAGGTCTAGCTTACCATGCTTATACCCAGTATTTGCAGTGCTTATTGGGTCTCCTTTTTTATTTTGGTAAGTTTTCGAAGGATCCCGCCCTCAAATCAATATGAGTAGCTCACAGAAAATACTATTTGGTTCTATTCATTCCTTGGATAGCCCCTTCTCCCCACTACTGCTCTTTGTTAGGATAATAGTGACATGACCCACCAGTGCTGGATTTACATATAAGCTAAACAAACTATAGTTTAGGGCCCCACTCTCTTGGGGCCCCCAAAACATTTAAAGGAAAAGAAACTGGATGTACATTTCCAAAATATAAGATAAAAAAATAAAACCTACATACAGCAACAGTGTTTTGTGCTGTGTAGGCTCCTATTTGTTATGTGCAAATGCTTTAGATAACTATTAGGTCCATAAATTACCATATAGTATATATTCAACAAACAAAAATAACAGCGACAATTTGCTGCTGACAAAGGACAGCTGGACATATAAAGGGCCCCATTACCTTCAGTAGTTTAGGGCCTCATCAAACCTAAATCCGGTCCTGTACCCGCTAATAACTCCCCACATGCAGAATTAAATTTGACGAAATGGCATTCTGTGTGAGTTTACTATTTTCTTACTTACTTATTTATACCTCACTTTCCACTTAAAATAACACTCAAGCAGCTTACAAAAATTAAGACAACACAAAAATAAATATATATAAAAGCAGCTGCCTAAAAACATCAAACAATTGCAGTAGCATTCACATCGTCTTATATTTAAAGTATTTATCAAATGCTGGGGTCAGGCTTGGGGAGGGTAGGTATCTAAAAAATGCTGCCTCCAACTCACCTTTTCCCGCCACTTCTTGTTTTGCCATTGCAGCCATCTTCCTGCCAGCAATTATGCAGCTCCTCTCAGTGGCCGCCAGCCATTTTGTTTTTGTCTAGAAGTTCCTTCAGAACTGTTATGTGAGGCAGTGGTCGGGGGGGGGGTGTAGCCGCCATGAGAGAATTGCTGCTGTCAATAGATCTGGTCAAATTTCATCTCCACCCCACCCCCCAAATTGTTAACCATTTTCACCATCTGTGAATGGGAAAACGAAATTGGTGGGTGCATTTCAGCTCAGCCTTAGCATGAGTGAACACAGCAGACTTTTCCTGGTTCTTAAAGCACAGTAATGATAGTATCAGGCAACTTTTCCTGAGGAGAAAATTCCACAGCAGAAACTCCATCACTAAAACATCCCTCTCACTGATTGCTACCACCACCTGTTCCCACCACAAACCCATCATCAGTCTAGTATTCTTTCCTCGAAGAAAAAGGGGCTGTCCTGGAACTTCCTAGCATTTGGGGAAGTAAGAAACACAAAATAAAAGATTTGATGTTCATGAAACATTCAGTCTGAAAGATCAGTAGCAATTTTTCCCGCACCATACTAAAACATTTCAAAATCAGACATCCAGGCAGAAAGAGGGTCAGCCTCTGCCTTCATCTGAAATCGCAACTTAAACAAATATCAGGTAACTTTTTCGTATATAAAGGCACACAGGAAGCAGAGGAGGGCAGCCCAGAACAGCTGACCCAACCTCCCAGTTGCACTTTTGCCACAAGAAAAGGTTAAAAACCATACCCACTTGGCTGTTATACAAATAACTTTGTTTCAACACAGTGTGTAGGTGAATAAAAGAGACTGTGTATGCATGGGGAAAATAAATGTGATGTTAATTATTAATTTTGACAAGTCTATATTTCTTCATATATATTTTTTCAGGGCTAAAGTTTCAGGAGGGAGGAGGAGGAGAAACCTTGAAGCTGAATGAGTCCCACTTGTGGCTTGGACTCTCACTGCACAGCATACAATAAAATGGGTTGTGTTATGAAAATAGGTTGTGACAGACCATGGTGAAACCATGGTGAGCGTGGTCTCGTTTGTGTAATAAAGGGGTTTGCAAATGTGGTATTAAAACGGGGAATCTACAAATGCAAAATAAGCTAGGGAGGATATTATCTAAAGGTTTCTGTATGTTAACTGGCTTCAAAGGCACACAAGACATTTTCAGCTGGTACACCAGTTGTGGTAAAAGTGTGATAGAATGTCATGAGGTTTGCCATTCAAGATGAAACCCATGGTTTATTTTTGACAACCACAAACCTTTTTGTCAAAACCAGCATGAAACACACACAGATGCTACTTCATTCTGTGTCTCCTTCCCTTGGGGAAGAGCATTTGAGGACCCAACTCAATGCCTAGATCTCTCATCTCTTTAAACATTGGCAAACAGCAGCTGAAGGAGGGCCCAGTCTGGACCAGGACTGTGCCACTGAGGAATTTACTCTTTCCACATGCGCCATTTTTTGATTGAAAAACATCCCCCTGATATTTGGCCTTATTAGGGGGAAAGGATGTTACACAAAATGGTAGGCAGAGGATGTGATGGGGGACAAGTTCTGCAGCAATTCCTCCCCCCCCACACACACACATGCTTTCAGGGTCAGAGGAGGGGGTCAGGGTCAGAGCTTCACTCTCAGAGGGGGTCTCAAATTTAGGCACTTGTTGATTTAGGGGCATGTGATAAGTTTCACAACTTGTTCCTATGTCCATCAGACCAAAATGTGACACACATCTTAGAGCTGCGCATTCAAGCAAATAAGATCATTAGGGATCATTAGGAAAGGGGTGGTAAATATAATTCCCAGTATCTAATTCTCTTATCTATGGTGCTTGGAATACTGTGTGCAGTTCTGGTTCCTCATCTCAAGAAGGATATAGTAGAGCTGGGAAAAGTTCAGAAAAGGGCAACCAAAAACAATTGGAGTGGAGCAACTCACTTCCTATCCACATTCTCCACTTGTCACTCATATTTGTCTGACCACAGAAAGCAACGCACCTTTAAAGCTGTTGCAACCTATTAGTTTATCATCAAAACACACTCTTTCTGGTATCTCAAGTATGGGAAGCTTTAAAGCAGGCAGCAGTGGTAAGCAGATTAGTAGATACAAAGAACAAGGTGAAGTTTTGCACAAATTCTCTTGAATGGACTGACACATAACTACTGAAGTACCCATGAAGTGGGCCCTTGTTTATCCAGTTGTGTGTCATCCTAATTTCTTCTATAGTAGCTGAAAAGCATTGTATATCCTTGGAAGATTCAGACAGTCTGAACTCAAAGCTTACAGACTCATTAGAAACATTTTAAACTGAACCAAGAAATGTTTGAAGTCATTTTGTGGCCAGTATCTTCTTATGATAGTTAGATCTGTGGGTTTTTCAACTTAATCCCTCAAATCCCTGCTACCCCAGAAAAGTCATCTGCAATATATGCACCAACTTTTCTATGCCCTACCACAGCTTCCCACAAATCCCAGTTATCTTTTATAGAAAGGAATTTGTCGTGAGTGTCTGCGTGTGCATTCTATTAAGGGCAACTGCCAATTAAAAAAAATAAATTGTAGTTAGCGAGAATCCCTAACAAAATTATTAATTAGAATTTGATTTCTCTCCCCACACACACATTTTTGATCCTAGTAATAACATAGTCCCAGTCCCATCTGTGAAAAATATATTATAAATGAACTAAACGCATGTTCATCTTTCCTGAACAATGCAACATTCTTCTGATGTTTTCAATCATGCTTCAAACATGGTGAGGGGGTGGGGAAGGCTGCTCACTCCATAAAATAAGCATGATTTTCTCTTTAAATATATTACATAAAGAAAGAGAAAAATGAAATCACAGGGGCCTATGTGGTATGCATTAAGTGACTCATATTCAATTGAATTACATCCCACACATGAGGAAAAATGGTCTCCACTTGTACATATGAGCCACAGCTCACAATATTGCAAATACTACTTCAGATGGTAGATAAATGTGTTATCCATTACTATGACATATAGTGCTGTTGCCATAGCATCATATGGGCTGCGACTCTCTCCTTACACTTTTAGGTCTTTATGACATTATATATTTTATTGTTTGTTAAAATTGTTGCATTTTAGTGCCTTTTGCATCTTTTAAATTTGTGTGACTCCCCTTGGGACTATTTTTGTGTAAGTTGTCTGCTGAATTAAATTAAAGAAATAATAAAATGCAATAATATCACCTCTGCTCCCTGTCTGGCATCCTGGTGGCTTGTGTTCTTTTGCTTCGCTGCTTCAATTCCACTTCTCAGTTTATTGTTTTGGTTCCTCAGTTGCTGGAAACTTTGTCTGAGGAACACCCTCAGAATGGTGGGATTGAGTAAGGAAGAACCGAGATCGAACCCTTCCACTTCTCTGGTTGGTGCTTGGCCACTCTTCAGAATTCCCAGCTCCCTCTCCAGGTTCTAAATCAGTACCCATTAACAGGTGGGCTGCAGATGGCACAGCAGTTAACTGTGGCTCCTTGTGTACACCTTATACAGGTGTTTCATTTTGTTCTGCAGTTGTGCAGCCGGAAATCCAATACTGGAAAGAGCATCTCATTCTCTTTGAAAGCGAGGAGAAGGTTTGCTGACGCTCTTCTCATTTATCTCTTTCTCTCCCCTCTTCAGTTCTACTTGCAGCCTGCTCTGAAGGAAAAGCTTGGTCTTTATTAAAAATGGGCAAGGTGCACAAGACATAAAATCCAAATTAAAATAGGAAGAATGGACAACTGTGGAAGTTCCACATCCTTTCTTAAATGTGGCCAACCTCTCTGGAATTGGCACAAGAGTGTTGATATCCAGTGATTGTCTCCAGGGAAAGTAGGAAAGCTAGGTGATGGTTAGAAGAGTCTCATCCAGGTTCCTCCTCTAGCCAAAGGGATAACGCAAAAGAACAATCGGCTGCAGTTCAAGTGAAATGGCAAAGAACAGGAAGCTGAGTTTACCCCTCTAAGCATCTTAGGGTGCCAACTGTGTCCAAAAAGCTCGTGTGGGAGCCCTGGACTTTGGCGTGTTTGAGCTGTGTCACCACCTATGTATATTTATAAATTAATGCAAATACCGGTGGTCTCCTTCTGAAGGAAACCAAACCAGGCTGCACCCCTGGATCTTCTCATCATGGGGAAAAATAGGGAGTGAGCCAGCATAACAAGACTTACTCCTTGCTATGCAAAGATGTGAATGACACAATCAAAGAAGTGCCAAGAAGTCACAATCCAACAAAGACATCTCTGTCTTTACAATGCACCTAGTTCTTTTGCTACCCATGCATGGCTGCTCCAAATAGATGATAGAGATAGATAGATAGATAGATAGATAGATAGATAGATAGATAGATAGATATAGATAGATAGATAGAGATAGATAGATAGATAGATAGATACATAGATAGATACATAGATACATAGATAGATAGATGATAGATGATAGATAGATAGATGATAGATAGATAGATAGATGACAGATGATAGATAGATAGATGATAGATAGATAGATAGATAGATAGATAGATAGATAGATAGATGATAGATAGATAGATGATAGATAGATGATAGATAGATAGATAGATAGATAGATAGATAGATAGATAGATAGATATAGATGATAGATAGATAGATAATAGATAGATAGATGATATAGATAGATAGATGATAGATAGATAGATAGATAGATAGATAGATAGATAGATAGATGATAGATAGATAGATGATAGATAGATAGATAGATAGATAGATAGATGATAGATAGATAGAGATAGATAGATGATAGAGCAAACTGGTGTGCATGTGAAGCAAATTTGACCCATTCACTGATCAATATAATGTTGTTGTTGTTCTTTAGTCATTTAGTCGTGTCCCCATGGACCAGAGCACACCAGGCACTCCTGTCTTCATGTATATTTATAAATAAATGCAAGTCTTACTAAATATAATAGTGGGCCACAAAGACAGCGCTGTACCGTTCGCATTTCCATTCCATCAGTTCTGTCTTCCAAAGGCTCCTGGGGATCATCAACACACTTGCATAGTGTAAGAACATTACCAATTGTCTTGTAGGATCAGGCCAAGATCTGCCTTCTCCGGTATTCTGTTTTCATTCACTCAACCAGCCAGCAGGTTGCAGTTGTGACTGGTGCCCACTGAGCCAGAGAGAGCAGAAGGCAGGGGGCCTAAAACAGAAACGAGAGCCAACTGATTTGCCCCCCTCCCTCCTTGCTGAGTTCTTAAGAGCGACATGGAGACTGAGGAGGAGTAAGCTGACAGGCAGCACCATCCCCTTGACTGGTTGCAAGTAAGAAGGCAGGCAGGGGCGGGGATGACTGGATGAGGGCAGTGCCCCCTTTGTGCTAATGGGCCAGCCTCCACTGGCAGGTTGTGAAGGTGCTGTTCTGGTGGTCTTCCCCATTATACTGCCTCTGTACATGGACTTTCCATTTACCGTAGCTGTTGTGACATAATAATAATAATAATAATAATAATAATAATAATAATAATTTGCGGGACGCGGGTGGTGCTGTGGGTAAAACCTCAGTGCCTAGGACTTGCCGATCGCATGGTCGGCGGTTCGAATCCCCGCGGCAGGGTGAGCTCCTGTCGTTCAGTCCCAGCTCCTGCCCACCTAGCAGTTCGAAAGCACAATTAAGTGCAAGTAGATAACTAGGTACCGCTTTCTAGCGGGAAGGTAAATGGCGTTCCATGTGCTGCTCTGGTGCCGGTTAGCCGGAGCAGCTTTGTCACGCTGGCCACGTGACCCAGAAGTGTCTGCAGACAGCGCTGGCTCCCGGCCTCTAGAGTGAGATGAGCGCACAACCCTAGAGTCTGTCAAGACTGGCCCGTACGGGCAGGGGTACCTTTACCTTTACTACTAATAATTTATTTATATCCCGTGCTCCCCAGCCGAAGCTGGGCTCAGAGCAGCCAACAACAGTAAAAGTAACACAGTTTATATAAAATCACAATCAATTAATTGAAATACATTCTAAAATCAATTCACTCTAAAATCAGTTCAGAATCAAATTAATGGCAACCATTGGGCTAGAGTTCTATGAGGATTACCAAAGGAGGGGGTCAGACTGTGCCTTGGCCAAAGGCCTGGTGGAACAGCTCTGTCAAGTCCCGCAGGGCCCTAGTCTCTTGTGACAGCATTCCACCAGGTCGGGGCCACAGCCAAAAAAGCCCTGGCTCTGGTTGAGGCCAGCCTAACCTCCCTGTGGCTCGGGACTTCCAAGATGTTTTTGTTTGAAGACCGTAAGGTCCTCAGTGGGACATACCAGGAGAGGCGGTCCTGTAGGTATGAGGGTCCTAGGCTGTATAGGGCTTTAAAGGTTAAAACCAGCACCTTGAACCTGATCCTGTACTCCACTGGGAGCTGGTGCAACTGGTATAGCACCGGGTGAATGTGATCCTGCGGCGAGGACCCCGTAAGGAGTCTCGCCGCGGCATTCTGCACCCGCTGGAGTTTCTGGGTCAGTCTCAAGGGCAGCCCCAGGTAGAGTGAGCTATTCATAGGCCCACCCTCCAAGGAAGTGCTTGGTTCTTTCTCCAAGCCATCTAAACTTGCTCATAAACAGCTTCCAGGACTTCTTTAACTCCAAGGTGTGTACATTGAAGCCTCTCGCTTCAAGGGAGAGACGAGATAAATGCTACTGTGGTTCCTTGTGCTTATAAACGGGCCATCATGTGGTGAAAGAAAGACACAGCCAAATGCAAGGTTTGTTGTGAGGGAAGAGGCTGGATTTCATGTGGCTGGATTTCACTACATGTGGGTGCATTTATAAAAATGAGTCAGCCTACGGGAATTGCAGGAGATAATGGAATATACTTATGCTACCACAGCAATAGCATTCTTGTTCCAGGGCCAAGGAAGCAACCTTTCTCCACAGGGGTCTCTGAATCCATCACCTTTTATAAACAGCAAACGCAATTTAAAAATAATGGCAATAAAGCGAATTTAAATAATTGGCATGCTGTTATGTCCTCTCCAGCTGTATCACGAAGCCTGGAAGCTTGATGTGCTTTTCATTGGCAGAATTTGCAAACAAGCTACAATTATTTGCTTACTATAGTGGGAAGAAATCAGATTTTCCAAAAGCTAATATGTTGCCTGATGCAAAACAGAGTCCTCTTCCACAATGGCTTCGCCAGCCGTCACTTTAGTCTCACGAGTAGAGCTTGTTTCCACATTGCTTTGTTTATATTGACTTGCATTTATGATGTTTCAGAAGTTGCCAGTAAAATATTTATTTAGCAGTTAAAGCATTCTGCAAATGATTTTTCTGTCTCATAAGATAAATATGCCCAGGCTGCTCAAATGAGACATTAGCGTGCTTGTTAAGAAAATTGCAGTTTGATAAAATCCTCTTGAATTACAAATAGCCCTTTCTTTGTATTTGAAGTGGCAACATTCATTTGGAGAGATACTATTTATAATTAAAAGTTGCTCTAAGCTTAGAAACATTATGTATACTGCTAAATATACAGTCACAAAATCAAGCATAACAAAGGATTATGGAACCAGTCTGTAAAAGGAAATGTTTAACCACAGTGGGCATGATGAATGGAGCAGTAAGTAATGACTTTATTACAATACCTTTTTCTTAAAATGGCCTAGTTGAGTTTTTGCTTAGTTGTAGCATTGTGGGGCTGTGAAGCTGTAGAAGTGGGGCTGTGACCAGCATCAAAGATGGGGATGCAGGAATGCAACTAGCCATGTTGCAAAAGATCTGTGATCAGGATCTCCCCAATCTAAAAAGGAATTAGTATCAGCCACAGAAGAATGACTTACAGCATATATAAAACAAAATAAAATATTAAATATTAAAAACTTCCTGATACAGGGAAGTATCCAGTTCACCAAGGTGTTTTCTGTGTTTCCCCACCCCCAAGATCACAAAAATTGTCCCCTCCCTCTATATATATATATATATATATATATATATATATATATATATATATACATAAACACTAACATACACACACACACACAAAATGGACAGCACCTTTGAGTTCCCCACTTGGAGGCCATTATAAAACAGTGTCAGGAGAGCATTTTGATTCAGAAATACAGCATGGAGGCTAATCTTTCCTTATCTCCACCCCCTACCACATCACCATCCTGATCCAATTCCCCCACCCCCTTGCAGCTTTGACCTAGTTTTAAATGCAAGAGATCCTGACTGTGGATCTTTCAGGTCATGTCTAGTTTGGTTCCAAGGACAGAATTCCATTTGCCCAATGTCAAGCTTGTTCTCCTCACAGGAACAACAAAACA